GCAAACGAAAACCAAATCACGAAGACAGAAGAGGCTCGAGTGAAATCGAGGTGAGATAAGGAAAATACGGTGAATATGAGGGCCATTAAACGGGATAGCATGACACGATCCTTGAAAGGTCCTTGAGCAGAGGAAGAGGAGATGGGAGGGAAAGAAAAAAAAAGGCCACGTAGGACTTTCACCCCTCCCTGGATTCCCCTCTTTATACATGGCATTGAACTTGCTCTCTATATACGTCAGGTATACCGGCTTCGTCCATGCAGAAGAGGAGAAAGGGGGGGGATTCATTTAACCTCTGTCCATGTGTGTAGACCCCCTCTGGGTATTTGTTTGCCCACTTCTCGATTGTCCTTCCTCCATCACGGCACCTGACCCATTTATGCATGCACACACACGCATGGAGAAATTTCGCCTTATTCGACCTCATTTCTCAGGAGGGGGAGAAGGGACGAAGGAACAGTCGCCATCAGGCCAACGACCGATTCCACAAAAAAAATTAAATCCCAATTCACGGTGATTCTTCGATCCTCGTTTTGTACTTCCTATGGCCATGATTCAAGAGAGCGAGAGGGAGAGGAAGGGGAAAAGAACCGATTAATTTCGAACTTGTTCCGTCATATAGAAACTTCAGTGAGGGCAGAGATATCTGGATGCCACAGTTTTGGATAAACGCCCCATCATGTTCACGGTAGGAAGTCAGAATAGTACACCTTGTCTTTCATCAATTAAAATAAGTACGTGAGGGGACTCTCAATCAAGAAAAATTCGCATTTGGAGAAATGCACGGATTAGCGAAACTGAAATAACATGTAGTTTGAATGGCTAAAACACGAACGAAAGTGGGGTCACTTCTCTACGAGGCTCGAACAATCTTGATGAGGTTGGGAATATAAAAGAGAACAAAAATTGGAATCAAATGTAGTTGAGGTGAATTCTCAATTGTACAACCTTTATATTTACAGTGAAGACAAAAGTCGACAAAAACCTGAGTGCAACATGAACTAAGTATTGCTCTCATTTTCTAAGAATGCAAAATTTTATCGAAGGAAATGAGAAACACACGTGCAGCTGGATTTTTCAGTTCCGTTAGAGTACACGAATGCTGATATGATCATAGTATTTACAGCACATGCATTGCATGCTTTAACTGTGATAGGATGTTGGGAAGGAACTACAAGTGTTGGAGGTGGTTGAACTGGACTGCCCCGGGGGATACGATGGCTTTTCTCTATCACGTACTTTGGCTAGCAAGAGTGAAAGTTGGACTCACTCCATGTGAGAGAGAAAAGGGCTAGGCTGGAATGGAGATAACCTACCCCCCTTAACCGTTACCTCTCGGTTTCTCTTTTGCGTCACGCGCCGTTAACCCACAGCGCCTGTACTTCTTTTCCTCTCTCCCGCCTCACCAGACCTACTCAGAGACTTCGATGCCCGAATGATGAAGTGATGAGAGGGTTTCCGATCAAGATTGCTTTAGAGAAGCTTCGTTCTTGGCTCTAAGTTCAACGTAATGATTCATATTGCGCATTTGTTTTTAAAACGTATTTTATATGCATAATTATCTTACCAATCAAAGACCTTCATCATTTTCACCATTGGGTTTCATTTTCATCTATTTGGTTTTACTTATGCATACTGTCGGGCTTACATTTTTTTTTTGCTGTTCATCCGTTTTCCAAATTAGTCGTTGAATTAGACTCACGATGCCAAGCAAGATCGTTTTTTGACCTCGTCATTGACCGTCATCAGGCTCCAGTGCCCAAAGCGCTTCTCCGTGAAAAAAAAATACGGTCATGGCCCTCACCGGGACCCATTTTTCACCCTCAAGTCCACGAAATAGTTAGCGTTAAGGACAACTTTCACTCCTGTCCACCGATCGCGCTATATACATTTTTAGGTTCAACGTTGCATGACGCGAGCGAGCGCGGGCGATTTCATCGAAAGTGATACCCGGCCTGGCTCGTGAAGGTGCGTGAAGGTGCGCGAATGAATGCGAATGCTCTCCTTTCCGGCTGGAACAAGTGGGTCTGGGAGAGTAGGTCAGAAGAAGCCCCGAGGCAATGACCATGCGCGCACACATACACAGCTCAGGGCTGAGGGCTGAGGGCTCATGGTGGCAGCAGAGAAGGTCCTACTTTACTTCCTTTCTTCGAGGAACGCGAGACGCATCGTGTTGACGTGAGTGCTGTGTGCGGACGGTCATGTTCCCGCCGGAATCGAAACCGTCGTTGACGCTGCCGTCGAGACCATGAAGAAGCGCAAGCGATTCTGCACGACGACGGGGACGTTCCGCAAAAAGGTCAAGAAAAAATGACACCCCGCCACCACGATTCCTCCTCATAAACGAATCCACAGACTACAAAAAAAGGAAGATATAAGTATACATATTCGTCGTTTCGGCTGAGAGTGCAGGTGTACGTGCAGTGTAGGGAGTGAGAGTTTCTTGCGAATTCCGCGCCGGTTTTGCGAGCGGATCTTTTAGGAGATACTGCTATCATCCGACTTCTTGGAGACGACTAGTTCCGACCAGGTATGCACGAAATTTAGTGAATAAAGTCGCTAAATTTCGGACCCTAGGTGTTATAACGAAAGAATACAAAGGTAAATACAAAATTCGATTTTTTGATATTCCTATTGGGAAAAACAAAAGTGGGATGAAGTCTTCAGCGAAGTTTTACATTCCGGATATTTGAAGACTCAAAACTTCATTGAATAAGGAATGATTTTGATGTGGGGAAGTGGCAAGAAGAGAGCGAGAGAGAGAGATGGAAGGAGGAGCAGAGAATGGAATTAGTAGGTCCTGCATGCGAGTGAGTGAGAAAGGGAGGGAAGTTTGACCTGGTTTTTCAGTCACGATCCCTTCCCTCCCTTCGTCTCTCTCGTCGTCTCTCTTCGCCAGTCCGTGGCCGAAGAAGCGAAAAGACACCTCTCCATCCCTTACAAATCGAACACGAATCGATTTCCGTAGGAAAATCGATCGATGAAGCAGTAGATTCTGTGCCATCTAAACCCACTAGAACTTTCTGCAATTCTGTATACTCTGACTTAAGTTGCTAACAAGCAAATCACTAAGTGGGTCGAATTGGCGGATACGCTGAGAAACTTCCACTAGAGCTGCGGAGTCTCGAATAGTTTTACAGAATTTTACTAAGAGGTCAGCCCCCCCCCCCCCCCTCCTCTTCCCCCCCAAAAAGCTGGATTGCGTGTTGAGTGGAAGCAGCAGCGGAAATCCCGTGTACCGTACAAGTTTGGAGGATGTTTACACGGTTGACAAGGGACGGATCCATGTGCCCATCCCATTGCGACGACCCACTTTCTCCCTCCCACGTCATCCCCCCCCCCCCATTCACACACTACATGAACAGACCACGTTACAATGAACCATAAACTAGTACCATGGAGTTGTGATCTTAAAAAAAAAGTAAAAACAGGGAAGAGGTATAATAATGGGAATTCATATGTATAACGAAGATAGAGAGAATGTGGGCCAGTGATATCATGCACGCCGTTCACGCCCCCTTCTTAGGGACTCGATTGGACACGTTTCTTCCATATCGGTGGACCGAATTTGCACGTTTCCTCCCCGCCCCATTATCACTTCAGCGGGGTTTCGGGTACAAGTGGTAACCGTGTCATCTCGGAGACTTCAACGCCCGCATCCTCGGCCCCCTCAAAGTATTATTGACCACAGTGGAGTTTGCGCCTACGACAGCTTTTGACACCTTTTATTCAGATTAATATCTTTTAGATATACACCATTTTCATTCGTTTATTCCCGCAATCGGACTTATTTACGTTTTCAGTTATAATGCCGACGATATTCAACTCAGGGTGCCAAATTGGGCAACATTATTGCCGAGATAAACAAAGTGTTTTATTGCCCGGATGCAGTAATTGATGGAAATGTCCATTTATGGGGAAAAAACGGTATGGTAAGTGTAGAATTGAGGCAAGTGGGGGAATCTCGAGATACCTGCGAGAGCTGATAGAAATGGAAATGAGTTTCCTCATAGAGACCGTTGTATAGCAGGAGGAGGACACCAACACCCCCTGTGGGTGTTTTAGCCTCAGCAAGTAGGTCACTCCTCCCCTCCCCTCCCCTCCTCAGACATTTATTTGTCTCCTTCTTCCTGACGTTGCCGTACATCATCCTTGTACCTTCCTCCCCCGTGATACTCATCGCGAATGTCTTCCCCCTACAACGGTCGGAATCGGCCTACAGATGTTGAACAAAAGCTCCTCCGAGCTCGACGGGGGGAGCCTGAATGACATGTCGCGCCTCTACAGCCAAAACTGTTCTAGGTATAATAATGCGTCGGATAGAAAAGTAAATCTTGTTCCAGTGTGATCTCGTGACTTCTGCTGGGGTTCCATAGATGCGGATGGTAATGTTGGGAATGATGAGACAATGGGATTTGTGCTAAGGGCCTCATATATCGAATTTTACATTACTCGAGGAGAATCAATGGCTAGGGCGTCGGCATGTCATATCGTAGCAGGTGAATTGCAGCCATGGGCGATGCAAAAGTCACTGGTCGATTGGAACCTAGAAAATGAGTCATTTCTCATATTTAGACATGAAATTCAAGTTTAGTTATTGGCTAGTTTGACGTGGCAATATCGCATATCACATATATGGTTTCGACTGCCGAGGAGCCAGTGATGATTGTCCGGCCCATGTAAAGGAATAAAAATTCATACAGTATATCGAAACCGGATCCAACCATTTCAGCGTTCAACTAGGCGATGTAGTCAATTCAATGTGTTAACATCTTCCCATCACCTCTCAATATTAATCCAAGCATAAACAGCGTCCAGGGCGTGAAAACAAACATGATGTAGGTATAAGATGGAAGACCTATTGCGTGTAAATATGAATATTTCCCTTTTCTTCTTCCAAACGAGGACTTACAGAAGGGAGCGAGCAGTAGAGGAGGAGCCTGGGAGAAGGGAATCTATGACGTCAAGAGAAGAGGAGGAGGAAGAAGAAAAGTTAAGAAATGAACAAAATCGTTGTCCATAGTGGAGGACCTGGAGAACACGGAGGCACGTCTGGAGGAAAGAGCTCCAAAGTCCTCACATCGTGCCTCCAGTCTGAAGACGGGATGAAGTCTTGCTCTCAGGTGGCCGCCGTGGGTCAGGGCCAGCTGAAGACTTGCCCCGCAGTGGCCGGGAATCACGTGACCTGTTCCAGCCCGGATTCTACCGTGAAGACGGATCAGATCCCGGCGGATCTTCGATTCCCGGATTTCGTCGAACTCGGTTTCCCGGATTTTCCCGACATTGCCACGATCATCGGGACGGCCATATCCGGCCACGAGCACGCCGTCGAGGGTCACCCCGAACACGTTCAAGGTCAAAACCAGTCTCTCTCGTTCTTCCTTACCTATTCGCCATTCCCTGTATTAATTCACTGAGGCGAGGCGTCGACTAGGTACGACCGCGATCTCATTTTTTTTTTCTTTTACCGTAAACGACTCCCCTTTTTCACCTTTTCCTGAGAGACATCACAGGAGAGACGATTATGGGTTGACAATTGAATGGAGTAGAAAATAGAGATTGTAGTATGAGGAAGGAGCTAAATTCTCACGTCGTGCTCGCAGCTTTGGCCAAATGGGGATTACTGAAGGATAAGATTCCATCCAACCTCATTTCTCTATCCTCTCGTAGCGATTATGTACATCTATTTTATTCTTTGAATTAGTTTAAGAAAGAAAAACCGAGGTACCATTTGTCGACGATATCGGCTCCATAACATTGAGACAGCGATGGCACTTTTTTTTTTTATAGCAAAAGCCTTCTCGTTGAAACGAGTGCCTGCGAATATCATCTCTACCTAAAGTTTTGGGGCCATTCTAAATTGTCGTCTTTACTTGAGGGTCCAACCTTAACGAGATCTGAAAATGGCAATTGCTCGTTGTGAATGGATACAAAATAGCCTAAAATGAGTTTCAGTCTGAGAAAACTGCAAACGCCATCGATGGTATAATGTAACTTGAATACGCTGCCGTCTCGAAGTCCCGGTCCACTTTTCAGGGCACTTTTTCGGAGCAGTAGAGACGGGTTTGCATGGCTACCTTAGTCGAATTCATGCTCGAATGTCGAAAACGCAGGCATTCTCATTTTTGCACAGGATTGTAGCATTATGAAAAAAATCCTCAATCCCACACAGAGATTTCGGGCCTCTATTTTGAGGAGACCTGAAAAATTGTGCGGTTAAGGAATTTTTTCTCATTTTCAAGCCATTACGCATTACAATTGTGAACGACTTCACGAAGGTCGCAATTTCCTTGGGCCCGAAGATAAGCGTTCATTACGAGAACTACAGAATCTTATGGAAGTGGGTCTGAGCACTAATTTCGATGTCGATTCTCTCCCATGAATCTTTCGATTGCTCAGGAAAAAAAATGGGCTCGAAAAGAAGAGTAGGACTCGATGGAGGCAGGCCTCCGACGGGGCCTCGTAGACCCTGACGGCATTCAGATGTTCAATCCCGCATCGACGGGGACCACGAGTGCTTTAAAAGTTTCCGAGCGGCTATGGCGGAATCTCGAGTATTTCCGCCCGAACTTGTCTTGTGAAACATCCCGATCGGTAAGATCTCTTACGTCAGTCCGAGGAAAACGTGAAAACTGTGTCGCTTACGCTTCCAACGATTTCCTATCGACTGTAGCGCCTTAATGAATCGACGAGAGAAGACAAAGGAGGGGAAAGTACAGTTGAAAGTAGGTCAGAACGGAATTTAGTGTCTTCATTTTTTTCTTCTGTATTCCGCTGCATTGTGATTACATTATGCTTTATGGCTTTCATAAATCACGGGGATTCGGCGCATCCGATTCACGCGTAGGATAACTAACAGGAATTACCGCATTCTGCTTCTTGCTATATTCTTCTCATTAATTCAGTTCGTGCTGATCCTTGGGGATGATTTGTTGTTTCGGTGATACTCTCGATTAGGCATTTAAATAGGATGGAAGGTGGTTCTTGTAGGGCTGACGACTGGAAAGCCGCATGAGGCCGTATTCGCTAGAAGCGAGGGACGGAGGAAGGATTCCTTCTTTTTTTATTAGTGGATAGCGACCTACTTTTCCCGTAAGGGAATGACGTGCATGTGAAAGTCCGGTCCGGCCCTGTTCAATTAAGACGGAACATTTGTGCGAGTCACGGCCATGCCTCTTTCATCTCTCTTCATCATGACCAACCTGACTCCTTTTAAAGATTTTCCTTCTTTTTTTGGGACGGACGCATTAGAGTATCCGAAAGAAATCGGGCCTAATTTGGGTGGATGTTTGGAGAGGGGTTCTCCTCTCTTGTGTCTTCTCAATGGGGCCTCATCTCTCTCTCTCTCTCTCTTTCTCGTTCTCTCTCTCTCTGGGCTGGGCAAGGGATAACGGGGACGAACTTCACTTTACAGCTTCCCTTTTCGGGTCTTTGGGAAAAGGGTTGAGTGGAGGATAAATTTGAGCGATCAGTTTTGACAACCGCGTTTAAATGAGGTAAGGGCTTCAAGGGAACTAACTCGGATCTTATCCTGTTTCCGATCTGCTGAGCATTGATTCTTTTGAACTGAATATCAGATATCGATTCCCACGAGGCTCTTGCACATCGGAGAGCATGATATTCTTTATGAGTAGGTTCCGATGCTTTTTTGTATCAGAGTACCCGTATATGCTTTTTTTTTATGCCTACATGCAGGGTTGTTGGCGAAGGTAGACAGCAGCGGGATGGTGAGCCTTGAAGGACCGAGCATCACGTTGGCGGACTACACGATGCATTCTGATGGTTCCGACCTGGCTCAGCTGCAGCCATTACAAAGCACGGTGGGACCGGGAAGTCCATCTACAGATATTCTGTCGTCGAATCCCGACTCCGCCGATGGGTTTTGGAATTCCAGCGCGGGATCCGTATCTACCTCAGCAGTGTTGTCGGACCCGACCTTATCGACGTCGTGGCACACCCCCGACCCTCCGAAGACCGAATCGGGTCACCCAGGCATGAAAACCCTTACTGGATCCCACCTCAAGGATCTCCTCATCGGCGGAAGTGCCGTCTACCAAAAACGACAGCTTCAAGACACCAGCAACGGTAGCGGCAGCAACAACACCTTGCTGCAACTGTTGAAAGGGTCACCGGATACCCTGGGTGGAAGGTGTCCTACCGGAACCAATGGCTTTCCAGAATCCAAGAAGGACGCTCCAAAGACCTCCCCACCATCGTCTTTTCGGCCTACGTTTTCGCCAGGGTCACCCGGTTCGCCGGCCCGAATACCAGGACTAGTCAGAATTACCTGCAGTCGACCCATCGACCCCGGTGGATTATATTCCACCTCCAACGGTCTGCCGACCAGCAAGTCCTCTTACGGTCCCAACATGCAGACGCCTCAGAAGACTCCTAAAGAAAACGGAGGGATGCAGGTGGTGAGTCCCGGTTCCAGCAGTCCCATTTCCACCACTAAATCCCCTCTATTGGAGGGCTTGGTGGCATATCGACCGGCAGATTCCATGGACAGTGGCAAGAACGGTGTGATGGGTCGAACGGTGTCATCGTCGGGGGTTGCTTCGACCAAGCCCCACAAGGTTCGAACGAGGACACCGGCTTCGACGAAAAAAGAAGGCAGGCTCCACCCGTGCACCGTGTGCAGCAAGAGCTTCAAGGATCGTTTCAGCTTGGAAGCGCATTTCCGGATCCACACGGGAGAGCGACCCTTCAAGTGCGGAGTCTGCGGAAAAGGGTTCAAGCAGAAGGCACACATGCAGAAGCATACCACTATGCACCTTGGCGTCGGTCGCGTAGGTGCACCCCCGCCCAGGGTGCGCCGCGAATATCAACGAGGGGGTTCCGATAAAAAGAAGAGGGAGAAGAGCAAAAGCAGCAAGGGGGTGGTCGTGAAGACGGGCGCTAGCTACAGTCACGTGGGTTACGGTGGAGAATTTTCGGATCCGAGCGTATCCACGACCACATTGGAGGGCTCGGATGAAGTGGTCCCGGGGAAAGGTCTAGGGCCTCACTATGGAGAACTTTATCGAAGACTCACGTCTACTTCCACCCCTCCTCCGTCGTCCTCCTCATCCTCCTCCTCGACCACTAAGGTGATGCAGGGCCTATACGAGCCTACATACGACTTTGCTGCCCTTTCCATTCCCGAGTACTCCGACGAAAAGCCCGGTAACAACAACGGGCCCAACACCGCCAACAGCGGAACGTCGTCGACGACGGGGGATCTGTTAAGCGAGGGGGAAAAGGGCGGGGACTTCATGGATTTCAGCGGGAAGGACACGACCATGGAGGAGATGTTGATGTATGACAACATTCAAATCAAAGAGATCTTCGATTCGGACGAGGATACGAGCTTGGATTCAAAGGTCCAGGTAATTCACAGTGCATCGGGCGAGGAAATCACCGTCAAATTACCAGATCTCCCATCGTCGTCCAACGATTCCCACACTAACAAAAAATTCTCAGTGAGTTTCCAAAAGTGTTCCGAGCCCAACAACAACAACAGCAACAACAATAACAACAACGGAGAGGGAGTGTATCAATGCGGGGTGTGCTTGCATACGTGCCGAGACGTGGAGGCAATGCAGGAGCACGCCAAGAGTCACTGGCGAACTCAGTGCACGGTGAAATTGGAGGACGTGTTCGGCGAAGACATCTACCCATGTCTTTCCTGTGGCAAGGATTTCTCCCGTCAAGAATATGTGATACACCCCTGTGTTCTATGAACCCTCTCCTCTCCCCCCTGCCACCACTGAACACAAGAAAAGTACAAACGTCCCCACACACAAGTTCGCCTGTGAACTCGAACATCGGCCTAAAGTTACCATTCGCAGCCAAAAAAAAGCGCTGAAGACTCGAGAAAAAAGTTTGAAGAGAAGTTTTTATCATACAACCGAGTTTTACATTCTGAGATGATGTTTTGTTTGAAAACTTGTTAGTTTTTTTTCTTGTGTCTTTTTTTTGTTGTTAAATGCATGTCTGAAGTAAAAAAAAAAATACGAAGGAAAGAAGGGAGGAAGGAAGAAAGGTAGGAAGGAAGGAAGGAAGGAAGGAGGCAAGGAAGGAGGCCGTTCTACTTGAGCGAGTTTTAGCTAGCTCTCTACAGTGAGAGTCGAGGGAACAATCTAGGCAGGTTGGCAAGTAGAACACGAGAGAGAAAAACCTTCACTTTCGGCCTGGCCAGATGTAGGCTAACGGTACGCTCAGGTTAGTGGAGCGCACCATTCTCTCTCCTCCTATTCACCTCCCATCCTCCTCCTCCTCCTCACTCACAATCACTCTCTCTTCTTTCACCTCCACCCCTTCTTGTCTCTTCATCTCGTCTTCCACTTGCCCCGCTACCGATGTTCTATTTTTTTGCGAAAACTCGCTCTAGTTCTTCAGGCCTCTCGTTTTCTTTTGTCGTCCGTGATCTATTTTTTTGTTCATTTGTTGTTGTCTTATTTTTTTCTTCCTTCTCCCCCTTTCTTTCCTAAATAGTCTTAATATATGAGCTGAATTTCCGCGTCACGGGTGTCTCTTGTATCGAAAGTTACCACACGGAATTTCCGGCTGCAATAAGTTGTTGTTTGTTTTTTTTTTCTTCATCTCGTATTTTATGCTGGGAAAGAGTATTTAAAAAAAAATTGACTTCGTTTTTCTCTCGCTCCCTCCTTGTCGTTGGTCGTGAAAATGAAGGTTGTCTCCATGATGAAATACAAAGGTGTTTCTTTTTCGGGAAAATGATCTCTGTGGTCTGCGTGCTACCAGCTGACGCTGTTGCATATATGCTGTGAAGGGAAGTAGGGAGAAGGAACTGAAGGTGATTTCTCTCTCAATGGAGGTCAGTGGATGGAATGATAGCCGGAGGCGGGCTGGGCATTTTCAATGCTCTGCTCTTGCCCTACTGACGAGAGAAAGAAAAAGTGGAACACGTGCATCCACCGTTTCTTCTCTTTCCCTACGCTACCACTTGGGCCCATTCCAGGCAACCTTTTGCTTTGAAAATTTATGTCCTTTGCAAGCATAATAATACAAAACCGGTTCAAGCCCAATGGCTCGTGCAAAAAAAAAAGAAATATGAAATAGAACTTTGACGGTAACGAAATAAGCGTCTTTTCAAAGATGAAATGAATAGAATTCCAAGGGAATTAAAAAGCTGTTTTTCTGAGCAGTTTGTATTTTAAATATCGATATATTTGCGGCTAACAAAAGTTCTAGTATCGTTAAAGTTTCTTCATCAATTTGGAGAATATTTAATTAGGTTCAGGGTGAAAAGACTGGCACAGAACACGTGCATCAGTCTCATCCACACAAACGCCACTTCTCTAATTGACACAATGCACGAATCCACTGGTCCACTGCCCGATAGAGCAGCCACGTGTCCGATTGTGAATAGGTGAAGAGACTAGTGGTTTCATCCTCATGGGTACACTGGCACGGCCTTCGTGTCTCATTCCATAGGCTTGTTTTAACCCTGTAACTACCAGAACCCGTATGGTCATATGTCAACCTCATTGTTTCATCTCATCATTCCCAAAGAATCTCTTCGAAATACTTTGCTTAATTATCACATGTCGTCATGAAAATACACGGAATATCGGACTTTACAAGTTTGCAGTGCAGCCTACACAACTACACAAACGGCTAAATTTGTATATCAGCCCAAGCAACACGTCCATGCCACGTTGCTGCAACGTGAATAGAACTAAATGACGTTGTGGTAACGTCGCATGGACGTCCTTTAGTTGTATGCATTGCTTGGGATGGACTATTGAAGCCAGAACGGTGATTACAGTGTCAAAACGTCGAAAATCCAAGAAAACTACAGAGAGAACAGAGTACAGAGCAAATGAAGTTTCCGCAGTGGAAATCGACTTCAACGATGAAGGAAGGAATGAAAGTGATTCCAACAATGGAGCTTTCCATCACCCGTCGCCTTCGGAAGCGACCGTCTTCCAGCACCACTGGAAGACGGCGAAGATGAGAGTCGAAGGACCTGATGAATGCCAGTCTCCGTCTGCCGTTAGTCAAGAGTCCACGGGTCTGTCTTCTAAAGGGAGAAGGAGGGGGGGTTACTTTCTGTCACATGGATTCTACAATGCCTACCCCAGACGAATGCAAGGGGTCCATCGATGAACGACGGATTGCACGAAGAGAGAGTCCATTCGTGACATGTGGGGCTGGAAAACGCCCCACGAACGGATTAGGTACATGAGATCCCCTCAAACCGTCACGGGCGAATCCCCAATCGACCTTTCATTCCAGTTCGAATTGCATTCCATTAGAGACCAGATTAATGGACAATAATAGGAACCTCAATTGACTGTTTTACGATTTGTACTCGGATGTCATTCAGCTTTCTGCGAAAAGATTCGAGTTAAATTCGGAGAAACATGCTGTGCAAGAGCAATTGCCTTTGACGCACCGGTAAAGATCAATCATGGATTTAAAAATTGAGGTTTCACTTTCATCTGCCTGAACATTCACACGAGGGAAGGGATGATGAAAAATGAGATTTACTTTCCGATTGGGGTCTTCTGATTTCGACCTACTTCTAAGACTAAACCACAGAATATAGTAGCATAAGCATTCTGTCGGACTCGGCGACAGAGAGGCAAGAGATCGAGACACTCGAGACAGCTGCTACTCCTAGCTAAAATCGGATGCATGGATTCCTACGGATCGGCCGGATTTCACACACGAAGAAATCGTCGATTCTAATCAGATGTGAATTCGTGCCAGCGTTCCTGACTTCCACCGTCGTCGTTTGGAACAAAATGAATAGTTTCTTCGCGGCCATCTCGTGGCGGAAGAAGGAAGCAGAATCCCTTCGCTCGTCCATCGGCGCTGAGCTCCACCTCCCGTCAACCATTCAATTGGGGACGAAACCAGTTTTTACTCTCAACCCGGTGTAGAACGTCAATCACCCAACGCCCAAATCCACTTCTTCTGTTCCATTAATGAAACAAGTCATTTGAGCTCCAAAGTAAAATGAATAATTTAAACTCAAATCACGTTTCCGCTCTCTGCTGTCTGAACAAAAAAACGTTATGCGATGTACTTGTAAGGATACATATGTAAGAAATAAGAAAATAGGAAGCCTATGAGAGCCCTCGACAGCTGAACGTCACTTTAACACGTGTGAAGCTACTCTCACTTCTGGCAAGATAGAAAAAGGTTAAGGGGTACACATGAAAGAGAAGTGACGGGTAGACGGAAACGTCGAAATGAGAAATGGGTCATTCGAAGCGTGATCGACGTGAACGAGGAATCGTTGGACTCGTGTTTCGGGCTGCACCTCAGTGGGTCAGATCGGCTACGAAGTCGGCCACGAAGGTTTTTGCATCCCAGCGGGGCGCTGAAGAACGTGCAGACGTCCTTCCGACGATCCTCCGTGCGTTCGGCACGAGGATTCCTGAGGAGCCTCCTCGTATTTCCTTTGCTTTGCGGAGTAGAAAGCCAAAGACGCGTGCAGTCGACCACCGATGATCGCATTTATTCCTCTGGCATTGGCCCTTCCAGAAAGAGCAACTCGTGGCTGCTCCGTCGGTACCTTCTTTCAAACGGATCTGAAGCTCTTTTTCTTCAAGGACACATCGACGGATGGAGGATTATTCTCGGACGCTCTCACTGGCTTCACGGCCATCTACCGCCTCTAGACCGAAGCGTTTGGCGTTGACAAGACGAGATTAGAAAAGAACAAGCAAGAAATCTCCCGACGAGCCGTGATTTACAATCCTCCGATTCGAAGTCAACTGTGAAACTTTGGTGTTTAAAGCATTAATACTCGGTTTCGGCTACAGATCGAAAATCCTGACGAAGGTGGTGATCGAAATGAAATGATGGCAATGGTTCCTTGCTTCTTCCTCTTCGTCAGTTTATCATAGATGCAACATTAAGTTTCTATTTCTACGGTCACGATACATAAATTCGTGAAACTGGTGTTTTTCATCTCGAATGAACTCGAGGATCTTCCTCTTTGTCGTGTTATGTTCGGCTGTCCGTCGGTACGGAATGTTTAGAACATCGATCGGCGGCCATCGTCAACGCGGATCCACGATGACTCGTAATCCCTGGTCCTTCGTCTGGAATTGGGCACGTACCTTTTGCTAGGTTCCACACTTTCACGAAGTAAAAAATTATAATAATATAGGTTTTCCCGACGAATTTCGGCAAAAGTCTATTCAAATTCGGCAGAGGACGTTTCAATTTCGGCAGTGCTCCTGTCCCCTCTCGATTTTCCCATTCAATTTCGGCAGGTAACTTTCGATTTCGTCATTCGCCGTTTCAATTTCGGCTGCGCAAGGGAATCTCTTCTTTTGGGAATTAATGAGTATGAGGATAGGGCAGGAAAGGGCACAAACGCATAGGGAATTTTTTTTTTAATTACAAATAATCATTATTTTATTATGCAAAGAAAAACACATGGACATTGACACTGATTCTACCCATCGATAAGTCCTCTCCTTAGACATCTGATCAAGTACATTTGCGCATGGCGATACCATGTAAAGCATTTATGATGGGTGATTTGGGCATGTTCTGTCGGATTCAAGAAAGGCAAACATGCCAGCAGAAACTTCCAGTGAACGTAAGGAAAGTCATCTGATATCGAGGCTCGTTTGTGGGGTCTAGCATTGTCTAAGATGACAAACTGGAACTGAATATTCGAAATCGGCTGCTCCTTTCTGTGAGTCCTCCACGTAGGTTCATGTTCGTTTCCATGCTTGGAATAATCTTGTACTGCGAAGGAACAACAGGAACGCTTCACATCGTTGTCGTTCCAGGAGTTCTTTGAGGAGCTCCTGAGACATGTACACATGATTTCGCCACCACACTAGATCAACTAGTTTATGTCATCATGGATAATGCTAGACCCCACAAACGAGCCTCGGTCCCAGATGACTTTCCTTACGTTCGCGTGAAGTTTCTGCATACATATTTTCCTTTCTTGAATCCTACGGAACATGCCCACTCTGCATTTAAGGCAGCTGACAAACGTGAGGTGTATTTTCCTGAAACACAGGTAGAACTTGGACGACGAAGACCAGAACAAAACTTGCAGCAAAGTCGGACAGAGAAACTGCTCGAAATAGGAGAGGCATCAGTTGGGCAAATAGAAGTGCTTTGCGTCGTTTTGCCATGCACTAACATACTTGATTAGATGCCAAAAGAAGAGAACATATCGATAAATAGAATCAGTGTCAATGTGTTTTCCTTTGCATAATAAAATAATGGCCATTCGCCGAAAATGCCCTATGCGTTTGTGCCCTTTCCTTCCCTATTCCTCATTCCCATGTTAATTACCAGAAACGAGATATTCCCTTGCGCTGCCGAAATTGAATGGGATAACTGGGAGGAGAGAGGAGCACTGCCGAAACTGAAACGACCGCTGCCGAATTTGAATGGACTTTTGCCGAAATTCGTAGGAAAAACCTATACTAAAGCAATACAACCGTCCCAAGGCTTATCCAATTAGTGCGTGGTTGTTTGTTGCCTCGAACTGGGCTCCTTCCCCAACTCAAACGAAATTGCTCTTCTGGTCTGAGGTGATACGCGCGACAAGCAGATACGTCGTCGTTAAGAACTTCGATTGTGCATTGCACGAATGAGATTCCGCGGTGGTGATCCGGGTATGTGATTCACTGTGCCTTCATGCAACACCTTCAAGGTAGTTCTAGATTTTGCTCTCAAGGCATACGTTCGACATAGTTCTTTTCGTGTACACGTAAGTAGAACCGGGAATGACCTTTTCATACATTTGTGTAAGTTGGTTCCAAGGACATTCCAACCCCAGATATTTAATTTTCGTCGAAAGGGCATTTCCTTTCACACGAAAACGCTCGGGGAGTTTTTGAAAACGTTTCCCGTCGGAGTTGTCATATCAGCAAACTAGAATACGCGTGTTCAACCGCCCCGGTAAGGAGTCACATTCCGAGTAGGAAACCATCCCCTTTTTGCATATATTTTGGTCTGCCCGGCCTGATCCTGTTACATCCCACAGGCCCCATTGGTCAATCAGGTTTACCACTGAAAAAAAAAAAAAAAACAGTTAGAATCGATAGGATCTTTTATTCGCTACTCCATTTGCACACTGACAGTATAGACCACGCTCAGGTAGAACGGAATAGACGAAATTCTCTGGATTTAGAGACTAGTGCAGAATTCACCTTCAGTTTGCTTTTCAGCGCCATCTGAAAATTCCGAGGAGTTCGAAGCAACTCCTCCTATAACGAGGGGAGCTCCAGGTGACACTACTACTGCTTCCAACAAGAAATTCAAACCATGCTCCAACTGGAAGACTTGCAATTTCTGTCATCACAAGTTGAAGCCCATTTTCTTCATGCACTCCTTGTGAGCCTGAATGAGCTCAGTGCAGGCCTCTTCTCCATTCTGGACGATGCTAAATCGGGAAACCAAGAGTCACAGATTGCTTTACCTTGCTGACAAAAATAAAAAGCGACTTGAGCGAACCATTCGTCTCGCGCTCGGCGTGTTTCGGGGCAGGCACAGCAAGGTTTCAAGGGCTTACCCTCGGGAGTCGACCCAGCTTTCATCGCTTCTCCGCCATCAATGCTCTCTTTGCTCTTCGCTCCTCCCATCACCCTTCGCACCACTTCCTCTCCAGCAACTAATGCTTCACATTACATACAATAGTGGCGGCTTCAGTCCAAAATATCAATACCTGTATTGTCTCGTATCTCAATGTACCATGAGCACCAGCCTTTCAAATTGGTCATGAAAAAATGCAGTTCGAGGCAAGCAGCACGGAAAAGGCTGCTTGCATCATCTGTCGACTTCTCTGAACGACAGAAGGAACATAGTGCAACAGATGACTCGGTCCGTGCAGGAGGCTAAGTTGTTTTCCTCGTGGAGTACTTGTAAATTTAAATACTTCGGACAGAAAAATCTAACCGAAAATCAAACTTGGGAAAATGAACGATGAAGATAAATATCGCACCGTACAGGGCGAGCCGTAATCTCGTACAAATAATTCTGGTTCGTATATGACCATTTCGATAAATTTTGTCTTATGCCTCCATATTAATTTCAACTTGAGTTTCACATGATCAAATTTTCAACAAAAAACACCACCTTTGCCCTTCACCAAGGCTAACGATCTTCCTCACCGCTACGGATAGCAGCACTTCTTCCATAGGCAGATGCAAAATGTCTCAATAGTTCAGATTTAAATATAAACTACCCGAGAATTTTACGAAACGATATGGCAAACATTGTAATTTTACTACGGCTTTAATAAAAGTCTGAAATCCATGTCTTCATGAACGAAGCCTACTTTTTCTGAACTCAGAACTCTAAGACAAACCAAGTGAAAGTCAAAGTTTGGAGGAAAAACTACTTCAGCTTTGGTGGCTATGCTTCAGTCCCGAACACTAAAGACCTGAACTCAAGAAATACACAGACTGCTATCATGAGCTGAATTAAGGCCAGCTATGCTAACAAGCAAGCTTCCTGTCCCACAGGCTGGCAGGTAGCTACCACACCAAATTGCGAGAAAAATTTGACAACAGGGACTTTATTCTGCAAAGCATCAACTGTCCATGGGTTCACCTCCAAAAAGTCAATTGATCCAGATAACACAAGTGAGAATGAGACAAACAGGAGAAACAAAACAGTCACAGTGAACAAAAGGGATGGCATGAGATGGTTTCATATCATTCTGAATCAGAAGGGAATCTGATGGAATGGACCTGGGTGTCGATGACGCCACCGCGGTAGGACCCCCGCTTTTTCTTCGTTTTCTCGTGGCGAAAACTTCTCCCCTTGGTATCCTTCAAATCCCTGAAAGCCCTCTCACCCCACGATCCTGTCGCTCCTTTCTGTAACATACGCCACCGACCCACCATTTCTAACTCATTTTTACTCATACTCATTGCATCTTTCCGACGAAAAGTCATTTTGAAAAAAAAAATAAAAAGAAAAAGGGAATGAAGGGGAAGAAATGTCCCCCCTTTTTCGTGTCTTTACAGAAAGAAGTGACCAGGACTCGTCTACACCTCATTCACCTACTCATCAAAAGTAATTTTCTTGTTCTGGGGTGTGCCTCTGTCATCCTCAGAGCCGAATTTTCCACCGCCACGTCCCCATCCACCTCTGCCTCCACGAAATCCACCATCCCTATCCCCTCCTCGACCTCCGCGAAAGCCGCCGCCACCACCCCAATCCCCACCTCGAAAACCTCCTCTACCACGGAATCCTCCATCCCTATCACCACCACGACCTCGGAATCCACCTCCTCCTCGACCACGGAATCCACCACCCCGATCACCTCCTCTACCGCGGAATCCACCACCTCGATCGCCACCCCGACCGCGGAATCCACCGCCCCGATCGCCACCCCGACCGCGGAATCCGCCACCCCCCCAATCGCCTCCTCGACCGCGGAATCCGCCACCCCGATCGCCACCTCTACCCCGGAATCCCCCACGATCATGTTGCCAACCGAGTCCTGGTCGAGGGGACTGCCAGTTTTCTTCCTCTTCACCCCCTTCCTCCCCTTCTTCCCCTTCTTCCTCTTCTTCCTCATCCTACGACAGAAAAAAAACCCATAACTGATACACATGCAATTCAAACCTCACCTTTCCATAGAAGGAATTATCTTGAAATTCATGGTCTAAGGAATTTCGGTTAAGCTGAACCCGCCGGAAGGGCTGGTTTCTGCCTTCTCCCTTCGGGTTCTTGCACCCGTCACCCAAAAACTTTTGTTCCCTTGGGGTATTCTGGCAATCTTGCCCCTTGACCAGAGTCTGGCCCTGGGTATGAGGTCCCTGCTTTTAGATAACACACCAAAATTAAATTGGCATGGACCCAGTCCTGCATTAAATGCTATGAATACTGATTATAACATAGGGGTTATTCCATGAAATATTAGTATAAAAAAGCGAAATTACAGCCTTGTCAATGTTTAAAAAGACTTGCACTTCCATTTTTATTTCCAGGCAACATGAAAACCCTCATTCTTAACTTTCAAAATAATTGTGTTACAATGTTAGAGGGAGCAAATTAAAAGGTAAACAGCTAACCTCTACTTTGAATAGCACCAATCAACTAGCACTAACTCATAACTAGATATGACAATTGCTGGAAACTTCAAGAACTTGAACATTTTAATTGCCCTTGATCAAACATGCAATTTCACTCATTAAAACTAGATTTGACCTGGTGATAAAACCCCCCATAAAAACCTGAAAGAGGCAAGGAAAGGTCAATGTCCTCTGTTCCATTGCTATGAAAACATTATCGAATACAAAGTTAAATATTCTGCAGAAAACTGGGTACAACTGAAATAGCCTAAAAGAGGTTCAACTGTTACTCCCTTAGTTGCCAAATAAATTCATATTTGTTGGAATAGACTTAAAATTCAAATTCCAGTAAGTTCTTGGTTGTCAGTGTGTTCTTTGTTGAATCAGATATTCAATTTCTGTCCCTCAATGAAAACATAATTTCAAAAATATGCTAGGAAAGTGATACAGAAAATGTGAGAGGCCTTGGGGAGACTGGTAAGTCCAAGAACTAGTGCTCCCCTTCTTCAATTGGGATGTCTGCCTTCATCATAAGCAAATGAAGTTAAAAGCTAAAAAATAAAAGTAATCCTTAAAAGACATCAGACTTCCAGTCAGCTATAAATAATTGACTTAGATCTCTAAGAAATGAATGACACACCAACAGTGAAAGTCATTCTACCTGCACTACACAGGTAAACAATATCACTGATATGATTGATCCACGAGTTAAAACTACACACACCCTGATTATTTCTTTCATCTTAGGATTTTTTCAAGAAAATAATTAGATAGTCAAGACTTAGTTTTGTTACCCCATCCACCTACCTTTTCTTTGGTAAACATAACCATGAAGTACCATTTAATTCAAGGCCTCAAGACTTAAAGCATAGACCTTGTGTGCCAACTTCTGACAATATCTTTGTACTATTTGGAACTGTTATTGATCAAACAGAACTCTGCACAGGACTGTAGAAATGACAATTAGGTAGGTCAAGAGAAAGTAAAGCTAGGCCAACAATTCAAAGACTGGGTAGGCAGATGGGTCAATGAAAGTTCTCCTGTTCAGGGGATTTCTCTCAAGTCTGTAAGACAGTTTCTGGAGTAAATTCTAGAAGAATCAAAGCACTTCTAATGCTCTTAGCAGCAGCTTTTCACAAACCAGAAAATAAGCTATCCCAGGATAACTTTTTTTGGGCTGATGCAACAAATGCCAATAAATAAAGAGAAAGATTGTGGCAAAACTTTTCATAGGGCAGTCTGTATGTTTTGTGGCTGCATGTTTCATGTCCACAAACTTTGAGGTTACAACTTTGGAAACTCATCTACATAACTGCCTGAAACTTAAAGGCAAATGGATATATTCCCTTTAGTCCAATGGTCTGCTAAAGGTGCCATGCTTGCAAACTGACAAGTTTATATTTCACAATGGACATGGTAAAATTATGCAATGAGGAAAATTCATAGAGAATATGCCAATTCCTCAGAGTAAGGACTATGTGCAGATGCATGAGCTATCTGCAAAAGAATATTGTTCCTTGGGGTAAAATAAGCACAACAGGAAAGAACTGCAGATTGGATCAGATGAGTAAATGCTATCGTAACCCACCTCTGGTATTCAAGTACACCTCCCAATAAAGGTTTAAGACTAAATTCTAAAAGCCATTAACTTTTGTCAACACAAAGTGAATAGAGAAAGTGGGTGATCAATAACAGAAAACCAGGAAATTCAATCAATGAAGAAATGGCAACAATTTAGTAGGTGAAATAAACCAGGAAAAACCATGGAAATTACTACCTTGTTAGAGTTCTTCATGGGTGTCTTCTTTTTCATGGGAGGGCCTTCTTCCTCATCATCACTGCTACTATCATCTGAATCCTCAGATCCCTTACCAGAACTAAATGGAGTTGATAATTTCTTGGCTTTCTTGGTTGGAGGTTGGCCTGAAGCATTTAACTCATTCTCTGAATCGCTGCTGTCTGATGATTCATCTTTCTTGATGGGCACTTTTCCAGGTGTCTGAAACATTGATTATATCATAGTTTTGAAGAAAATTCAGCATAATCAACTAATTCTCTTAAAATTAACTAGGAATACCTTCTTAAGAGAAGCTGCAACTGGAATCTGAGATGGTTTCTTAGCAGCAGGTTTAGCTTTTTCATCTGAACTATCGCTATCACTGTCTTCACTTGACGATTTGGCTTTTGGCATCTTAGTCACAGTAGGGGTCACCTTGGGACTTTTCTTGGTCTGACTTTGAGGCGTGAAGATCTGAACCTTGGATTTCTTTTCTTCATCTTCACTTGAACTGTCTTCTGAGCTTGACTCCTTAACTGGAGTCTTTTTTCCAGACTGGGCAGGTTGTGGGACAGACTTTACCTGCTTCTTGAGAGTCTCACCTTCACTACTTTCTTCAGAAGAGTCCTCCTCTCCCTTCAGCTTAATGCCTTTCAACTGTGTCCCCTTCACCTGCTGCAGAAACAAGAGTGCTTACTAAGACCCTTATGTTAAGGAAATGCAAAATCTGTGATTGCTGGAACGAGTAGCTATTTCTTGAGACGAGGAGAAAACATGGTAATGGAGAAATCCATATTAAAGGACTCAGTATAAGAGAGAGTGCAGACCACTACAACTGGTGGCAAGGTGCTAATTCAGACTAGTGTGGGCTTTTTTTGCATTTTAATATACAGGGTGTATTGTTTGTAGTAACAGCAAAATTGATTTTATTCATTTGCAGTAACCCTCCATGGATTCAAAATTGAATCTTGGACACTGCACAAATAGCTGCATGGTATCAAGAGTGGAAGCAGAGATTTGGATGCAACTTCACATCTTCTCCACCCCCACACATTTCATACCATGTAGATATTTTCACATTGTTGAAGATTCAATTTTGGCACCATTGAGTGTTATTGCAAATATATCAGTTAATTCATAAAACCCTACTGAATTCTTTCTTTTGACATAAAAACCATAGTTATAGTTCAAAAATTACAAAGTTTTTACAATGATAAAATATGTAGTGACCTTTCCATGCACCCTGTATATACAGGGTGGGGCAAAAAAAAAACAGTTTTCAACAAAACCCTATACTGCACTCAATACAAATATTATATTGCAGGTTGTGGCATTTGAAAGAGGAATGACTAAGCTTTAACATGGTATACTTGCATTTCAAATATTAACAGTTTCAGAAATTGTGAAGCTCATATGAACTACAAACAAAAACTGCATTGTTTTTGTAGGAGTGGGGATGGACTATGGCAGCTGCAGGTCACATGCCGTTTGTGTCCAAGAGTTTGGAAATGCAGTTTTTGTTTGTTGTTCACGAGCTTCAGAATCTCTAAAATTGTTGAATATATTTGAAATATAAGTAAGGCATTTCAAAACTGATACATTCCTCTTTCAAATGCTGCAAACTGCATTAAAAATGCAGTGTGTAAAGTGTAGGGTATCAAAGAAAACTGTCCTTTTTTTTGGCCCACCCTGTATATACATTCCTCAGCAAGCAATAACTATTACATGGTATATGACCAATACAGATGTATTTTTTTTAGATCTATTCACTTGAAGAGTAAGCAGTAAGTGAAGTTGTACAGATTTGTAACAAACACATTTAGCAGTGTGTAATTGGGGTTCAACCAAATTCAGTGACATTTCTTACAGGTGAGGCTCTGGCCACAGCAGCTGGAGTCAAAGGCTTTTTTGGTGCAGGAGTCTCCTCTTCAGAAGATTCCTCTGAACTGCTCTCTTTCTTGCCCTTAGCAGCAAGTTTTACAGGTGATGGCTTTTGATGCTGGTGAAAAAAATGATCAGGATCATAGCTCTTTATAGAATCTGTGTGTCAAGCTCTAAGCAGAACAAAGATCCAAATAGCAATGGAACCTATTTAAAATTCTTACTAGACCAAGTTACTCACCATGATAGCCTTGCCAGTAGGAGTACCTATGGTTGGCTTTTTGACTGTTGCTTCATCCTCAGATGATTCTTCAGAAGAGCTAACCTCCTTCTGAAGTTTCCCCTTCTGAGTCAATTGTGTCTTAGACTTTGCCTGAGGCTAGAAATGAAATTGATTGATATAGATGTCAAATCCATCAACAACTGGACTTTCACCAATTGAAACAAATACTTACAGTTTTTACCCCAGGCAAGACAGGAGTCTTTCTGGCAGGGGTTTCCTCTTCTGATGATTCCTCTGATGAACTGTCGCCTTTCATTGGTGTTTTGCCCTTCAATTTCTGGCCTGGATATAATTTTGCAAGAAGCAAATAGTGAAATACGTAAGTTAGCTAGGTGTAATGGAAGTTAAATATGGTAAAATGATCTGTTGCAGCCCACCATATCAACTGCTTACTGACAATTTGAACAAACTATTTCAATGCAGGTCACCAGACATGCAAATTGGAACAGCAAAGAACAAATGTATAATGGTATGGTCTGCCAATGAATAAACTTTACTGTGGTTCAAAAGAATAGAAAAGTTATTCATGATGTAAGAATCCATTGGCAGCCAGTAATGGGGCTAAAAAAAAAAAAGGCGGATGAACATTCTACATTGTCAAACCTGAATAGTTTGTGAATTCAGCAAACTTCGGGGCAGAAAGGTGGGACAGACCATATTATTTGACAACCAACAATTGCTACATAATGGATCAATGACGAATATAGACATATTATTAGGCAGTGACCAAAGAAATATAAAGATATTAAACTGCTCCATATATGACTCAAGTCTTCTGCCTCCTCCATGCAAATTAATTCTTGCATTAAGAAAAATAAGATTCAGGAATGGTATGAGGTGTGACCTACCACAGCTCTTTGGATATGAAGTGCGACCACAGTTTGCATGGTATCAAATATACCCCCTTTTTTTTAAACACGATTTTATTACTCCAAGCCACTTAGTCAATGACGAAATTTGCAGGCCTATTGTCAGGTTTCACATTATTGGTGAACATAGACTTGATGTCCCAAATGAAGGCCTCAAACCTGTTCAAGGTGTTGAGGCCACGCCACCAGGCCTCAACAAGGTGTCTTGGCTTGGGTATTGTCCCATGCATTCATTATACTTAATCTTGCAAAATGCCCTGTTCATGGAGCCAGTTAACTGTGCTTTCCTGACTACTGATGATTGAGAAAAACTTTGGCATTGCATCATGGCAGCTACTGCTGTTGATGGAGCAACACACCTCTATGCACGCTAATATGCATGCGGTGGTGGATACGGGGGGCGACTGTCCCCCCCCCCCCCATGGCAAGGTTCGCATTCAATTTTTTTATTGGGGCCAATGAAAGTTTTCCAAGGTATCCAAGTTTTTACCCGATGGAAAATGTAAGAGGTGATAGGACGGAGAGTGGTGATAGAACTAGGGAACCGCCTCCCAATGAAAAATTTCTGTATCCACTACTGTATGCTTGTGACCCCACCCATGGGCTTCCCATTCAATGACACTGACAGGCATATTGTGGGTGTATTTGAAGAGAGGGGGGATGATTGAGTCCAGATAGACCCCCCCCCCTAAAAAAAATAAACTTCCCAATATGCCTGTAATTTCATCACAGTGTTGTCACTACAGCATAATGCAAGACACTTCCCCAAACGGAAGGTTACACCTCATACCCAAAGAGCTGTGGTAGGTCACAGGTCATACAGTAGGTCACACTTCATATGAGTGCCAAAGATTCATAAAATCCATAAGATTAAAACTAACTGGAATGGGCTTGAGTCATGATGGACAACATTAATGCATAATGCAACAACAAAATCCTGGCCCACATCATATACAGATTCAGTTTCAGAGATTGAATTATTCTGGCCAAGTTGAGTCAAACAACTTCATAAGTCATGGCTTATGTCATGATATGCCCAATGAGCACATTTTAAAATTGAAGATGCACTGTTTTGAATGCTATAAAATTACAGTGACTGATTTTAACCAGTAATTTTGTTGGATATTTGGCACCTTGTGAAGAATAAGAAGGGGTTTGTAGCCTACTCTACAACAAGCCTAATCAAGAACCAGCCAAGTTTAGTGTCCTAACTTTTCCGCTACTGCTGCATTTTTGGCACAGCAGTGTTGCTATGGAGAAGCAGAAACTAGAAAATTCTTGAGGAACAAGTTCACTCCGAAGCAGTACATTTCAAGGGTGGTATACCACCTTTGTAATGTCTAAGGTACCTACAATGAAATTTTTGAAAATAATCTCACCAGCTGGCAGCAGCAAGTACTTACTTTTTGATCAACCCTCATAAATGCCACAGTGAAAGGGTTAACCCTGTAACTACCATTCTTGGTCCAATGGATTCTGATACAAAAATTTAGCAATTTGTGCAGGCTGTGCCACAAATGTACAAGCAAAAGCTTAATACACTGTTTTCAATAAGACATGTGATAGTAATAAGGCAAAAGGTGGAACAGATTCTTTGGTAATGAAGAGATGAAATGAAGAATGAGTTAAACCTATGACCATTTGGGTTTTGGTAGTTACAGGGTTGATCTTGTCAACACCTGCTTTTCAGTGCTAAATATCATAACTGCATCTACTTCACAATGTCAAGGTACCTTCCAAAAATATAATGAACTCTTACATCCAAAACACAATAGGGAACTAATACAGGCAGAGCTGTTCCATCCCTACAATTAAGGGTTTAAGAATTACCAGACTGCACTCCTCTAGCACTGAGACTCAACCAAGTTTCCCTGAATAAAAGAAGGTAAAGCTAGGAGATACCTAAGCCAGAAAATCCTAACAAGGAAGTGAATCCAAAGAATGGACATACTAGGTGGAGCAGCAGCCTTGGCCACTGGAGCCTTGGCTTTATCATCTTCACTGGATGAGTCCTCACTTGAAGAGCTTTCCTTGCCAGCCTTTTTCTGAATAGAAGGAGGGATGTTGACTTTCTGTGGTGACTGCTTGTGAGGCTTCATAGGAGAAGCTACAGGTTTCTTAGGAGTCTCATCTTCAGATGACTCCTCTGAGCTATGTAAGGAAAATGAATTACACATAGGTTGAAGGGAAAGCATGAATAACCCTTGTAAACCCAAGTCACAAATGAAGAATAATGTAGGCCTACCTTGACTCTTGAGGCTTCTTAGGTGTAACTTTCCCAGCAGGAACTCCCTTCTGTTTCATGGAACCATTTACAAGGGATGTCCTTCCTGCTGATGGCTTCCCTACAAGTGCTTCATCTGCAAAGGAAAAACAAAACCTAGCATTCCACAAGGGCACAAATAAGAGTAATATTCTGGCAGTAATCAGTTATGGTAGGTTTTGCCCATACTGAAATTGGTGTCTTCACTGCTAGAAGAGGCATGTTTGGCCTTCTTCTTAGCAGGCATTCCTCCCAATGAGGGGGAGGCTCCATCTGACAGCTTTCGCTTTCCTCCTTGGACACTAAAGGACAGAAGAAAACATGAAATATTGCATCATTTTTCATGCTAGTGGCAAACAAAAAAAGCAACCAGTTAATCTTAAAAAATGAACAAAAGGAAAAGCAACAATGCTGTCCCAAAACTGAAGTTGGGGAGGCTGACTATTGAAAGTTGCATATGAATGAGGTGTGACAAAAATTTTTTTTTTATCTGTATAACTTTTGAATCAGCAGCAGTAAAGTTTAATTTTTTGTAGGTTGTGCTTAGAGCTTCACCAAGAATCGCTAAACAATGCAGGTCAGAGCCTCTTGTGCATTAGCTATGGTGCAGCAATGCATGCAAATGCTGCCTATGAAACACAGAATATATGGAAAATATTGGAGAGTAGTCAAACTGACAGGCAATAAACTGGAAAATGCTACAATATTCTGTTGGCTGCTTGCCAACAGAACATTATCTTATCAAGTTGAAAAGATGGCATCATCAGTGTTCATTTCTTAGTTAGTGGAATGCTCATTTGTGAATGGCACATAGTATTTTTCACAAGACATGCATTGTACATGTCTCAATAAATGTGTAATAGATCCAGACACAAGCAATTGTTATGGGAATTCTCATTTCACTACACTAAATTCATTTTTTATTTTGTTAAAAATCCCTAAAATACTTTTGAAACACTACATTTGGGGAGGAGGAAGATTACATATTTTAATCAGATATATGCTGTTTTCACATAAAACAGTAAATAGCCCATCCCTACATTGGAGGACTTATTTGAATTGTCTCACCTTTCAAATGACTTGATTATATCTGTAAGCGATGGAGAACCAGGGGGAAGCAGCACCTGAAACAGAAGCAGGCAAATTAACACAAAAATTCTATAATCCTTTTCTGTTATCTTATGTTCACTTATTCATGTGGTGGAAGCTGCTCCACAAAATATGATTTATTATGTCCCAGTTTAGCTTTACCACCGGTCCCCACACCACTGGGACAAGGTGAATATAAGTCATGAATATATTAATATGGATAAACTATAACCCTATTTTTCTTCATGGGGCATGCATATCATTTTGCACAGCAAGCATCACAAATTTATCATGGCCATGGCAACCATGAGTGATCATGTCCCATGTCCCACCCATGCATGCATCTGCTAAAATGAGTATATGTGCCAATGTCTCCCAGGCATGTACTGTATTCAACTCTTACATTGGTCCCTCATGGGCTGACCTAGACCATGCAACACCATTTGTAGACTGATATTTTTATCTGGTTTGGTGTCAAAGGCTGAAGAGTGAAAAAGTCAACCTATTTTGGGGAAAGATGGGTCAGTGGGAGTTAAAAAGGGGTTGCAGTCTTCAGCCACAATCATTATTAGACCTATGCAAGTCCAGGCTTCCCATACTCTTTGCATGTGGTGCACTGTGTGGATATCTACAAGAGATAGATTGAAACTTCAGTTCATTGGGAGACTGTTAGGGAGCCCTAACCTTCCCTCTGTGCAAAGTCCTAATTTTTTTTCTGGTCTGGTCTTTTGTGCTAAGATATCGACTGCTATGACTGGTTGTTTGGGTTCAATAAGTTAAGCAACATGGTGTTCACAGTGCCGGGTTCATCCAAGGAAACCCAGTATGTTGTAATTCAATTTCTGATTGCTGAGGGCATGTAACCCATCAAAATCCATTCCCAAATGAGTGCTGATAACAGCAACAACTACTTATCATGGCCACAAATGTATTAGTGGCACAAACATTCCAGAGTTTGAAGCATGACTCAAGCCCAAGCTAGTCCAACAATGCATTCATAGAAGTGCAGATCACAAAGTTAGACAAGCCTATACAGGGCAAGAGAAACAGTTCACTAGATATATTGGCTATGGAAATCGGTCATGACTCAATTCACACCATGACCAGTGTACAGCATAGCATAGTGTTTCCACACAGATGAAGAAGTACAGGAGGCAGTCACATTGGGTACAACTAGTAACCAAAGAAACTTGAGTCTTGTATAAAAAAAATACCGAGAGGCATTGAAATCTATCTCTCAATAATTGGGAATACTTGGAGGAATAAAACACTAACTGCAGAAAAACTTAAACGTTTTCATTGGACTGACCTTTATGTATTAAACTTGAGCATAAAAAGGTCCATCAGATGGTTAGAAAATATGAGGTGAAACTGTCTGATGTATATATGCTCAAAGTTATATTTCAATAACAGTCAAGGGACATCCAAAGCCACACTTGGGGCCCTAGTAAAATTGGGAACAAGCAGTTTAAATTGATCAGATATTAAGAACAAGATGTCTATTACTTTCAATCTGCCTATTGAATCTTTAAATGTGCCCAGTGTCCATCTGCCATTCATTTTGTAATATTCCTGGAAATTCCATGCTGAAATGACAGGAAACTTTCTCATTGAATAGGAGCCTTCATGAGTAATTTTTCATAGGCATGCCTGAATTATTCTGCATCCTTTCCATGACTTGTGCAATATACAGTTTTGTGAGATGGGAAATGTAAAGAGACTTAATTTGAAATTTTTGCAATCTATCTCAATACGTCATGGGACGATAAACTTGTCCACGTAAGAGGTACTTTCAGTTAGCAGGCACCTAGTAATAAAACACATCCAAATTACGAAATGCAGTTAGCATCATTTACATATCGCCTTTTCCTAGCTGTCCGGTTCTCTGCAGTTTCTTTGAATTAGGCCTATTAGATGAATGAAAACCAAGGAAAGCTGAAATGATGAGACCGAGTTGCAGCACATTACTGTCGGACCCGAACTATTAACAATCCTTGAACGAAAAAATACAAATATGGGGATTCAGCTTCGTGCAGATCCTAAGAAGTAACTGAGCTCTTCCCTGTTATCTTTGCGCCTTAAAAATTCCTCAACCCTCGTGGACACCGTGGTAATGCGCCTAACATTCCACAACGGATAAACGAAGGTCGGCCTCAGGACAAGAACCGCCTCTAAGCCCGCATGAGTACGACTAGGAAGGGAAAACGGACTCACCACTTGTGCTTTCTTCTGAAATTTGTCGGCAAGGCCTTGAAATTTCTCGCGTAAATAATTATATACGTAGCCGTTCACACGTTGTACCGTCTCTGCGTCCATGCTGCCCGATGGGAAAAGGAAGGAGAAGAATGGGTGTCTTCGACTGCACACCTCAGAAGCCTCTGGCTCACTCCTATGCTCCCGGCTTCCGAGATATTCGAATTTCTGCGCAGGGGTTCAGTTACTCATAGCTCCCTGATCTCAGTATTACTTCCTTTCATAAAACATCCTTTTGTTTATGAAATTGCTTGAAAATTCCGAGGCAAGATATTGGTAAGGGTCTGAATAGTCACCTGGAGCTGTCCATATGGCAAGTCGAACATGACAAAATTCGAGAAAAGTAAATTGTTCATACACTGTCCGTACATAACGGAAGCGTACAAAAAAAATTCAAAAGCAAATATTTCCTTTTAATTAGACTGTGAGTTTTCAACGCAAATGTGTCCACCTCAACCAGGCAGAGCAGCCGAACTGGGATGAACGCATTCGCCTGACTCCAAAAATGCGCCCATGAGGCAGTACAGTGGTGTGTCCTCACGAGATACGTTTTAAATTTCCTGTGTTCTTAGCTACAAGATCAGGGCCGGATTAAGAATTTGCGAAGCCCGGGGCATGTGGATTCTTGAAGCTACTCCCCCCCCCCCACTACTTTAGGCAAATACTTAACGTTTTTAATTTCCTTGGGGGAGGGGAGGGAGGACCTGAAAGAGTGGGGCCCGGGGCAACAGCCCCCTTTGCCCCCTCCTCCCTTAATCCGACCCAGTACAAGATGCTTACAACTTGACGTGACTTTGAAGGTGTTCAGCTCACTGGTCCGCGAGAAGCCTACAGAAGGAGTCGGGGGGGGGGGGGGGGGGGGGGGGGGGGGGAGTGGGAGGAAGGTGAAGTATTAATAGAACCATCCAACAACCATGTGGAGCATCAGGCTTGACATCTTGAAGATCGTCTGGAAGGCTTGTGTTTTCTCTGTTCTCCACAGTAGGGGGGTACCAATTCAATCCGAAAACAGTGTACCTCTTTTCCTTCAAAAGAAACTCAACCTCGACCTACGGACCAATTAGACCTATAAGTATTAATCTTTGGTCCCCGAAACACCTCGTTGAGGGCGTATAACTTTAGGCCATTCGCAGGCCTATTCAGTCTCATGGCCCATTTAACAGTGAACGTGTAACGTTAGACTGAATTTAGGTCTTTTTCGAGTGTTATGAAGAATTTCGGTGCGGTCGGGGAACATTAGGCCTATCCAGAGTTCCTCAAACCGTCTGGACTCATTCCAAGAAGAAAATATCTTCAGAAAGCATGACATACAAGTTGACCGCCATCATAATTTAGGGATATCCGGATGAGATATCTCCTTATTCCATCAAATTTATCGGCCACTGCAAACCACCGTTTCAATCTCAGCTCATCCCATGAATTCAGCACAATAATTTCTCCTACTTTAATAATAGAAGGTCCAGACAACGATACTAAAGCTGAAGAAGTCATGAATCTGGCATAACTAAGGTACGATATCCGGCAACACTGGAGAACGGGACCGGAGCCATCACGCTAAGCCTAAATTAACGGCATCTAATTTAATTTTTAATGGCGAAATGGTGCACTGGAAGCAACAAAAATGACACTTTTTGCACCTACAAGTCAATATTTTTCGTTTGCTCTTTCCTCCAAAAACTTCCCAGGTGGGATACTTTTCTGTACACTTCCCTCTGGGAAGTGTACTTTTATGTACTGGGCGAAAAGCGAGACCAATATCTCCATCTAGTGGCCTTGAGAACTTCAACATTTCCGCAAAGAAACTCCTCCGTGCAAATTGAGCTCATTGGATCATCGCGTCAGTCTGATATTAGATCGATGATGGAATGGCAATATAGGGAAGCCAATATTAAGCCAACATGTATCCGGTATAGGCAATAATGGCAATATGTTTATAGACATCGTGCCCAATGTTGGTCCAGTATTGAGCAATTTCTGGCGTTAGCAGGGTAGGTTCTTGGTCGTTTCTTGAAAAAAAAATTGTTTTCCCTATTTGGCGATGCATGCCCCATGATACTACCATAAATACTATTTTAAAATGCGATTTAAGAAGGTATCATAATGTCATAACACTGCTACAATATCCACGCATCTTTGGACTTTGACCTTCAACGTCGATGACATTGTATTGACTCTAAGGCAGGGGTGTCAAACTCAAATCGGTCGGCGGGCCGCATTCCTTATCCTGCAGATGCCTGCGGGCCGCACCAATACTTTTTCACCGAAATTTGTGCTACCAGTCACCAAGTTACCAAGCGGAAATTTCAAGAACAGGTGGCGGGCCGGATGAACCACCTCCGCGGGCCGGATCCGGCCTGCATCCGGCCCGCGGGCCGGATGTTTGACACCCCTGCTCTAAGGGAACGTTCCCACAACGCTACTGTGTTTGCTGGGGTAATGGGCGCTACCGCGCCCATTGATATTGACATGTACAGTAGATCACGGAATGTGCCCTTTTAGTAGTTTGTAGTTTGCACTATTTCGCCATTAAAAAGATTAAATTAGCTTTCGTTAATTTAGACCTAGCGTGCTGGCTCCTGTCTCGTCCTCTACGGTTGCCGGATATAGTGCTGGAGTTATGTCGGATTCGTGACTGCTTCTGATTTCATATCGGTGTCTGGATCTTCTTTTTTAAAGAAGATCCAGATGTATGTTTGTGCTGAGTTCATGGGATGAGGTGAGACTGAAGCAGTGGTTATCAGTGGACATTCGATAAGGTACGATATGGAAATACCGTGCATGGACATCCATACTGATGACAGGGACGTCATTTCAGGGGGCGCAGTTGCCCCCCCCCCCCCCCCCCCGCTTGTGTCTTGGAGAGATTTTCAAATAGCCACCTTTATTCCCTATAATGCAATAATGTAATAGCCTGAAAGTCTGCCTTTAGAGATCTCATGCTGAATGGTTTTCATGGCAACTGTTTTTTTGTTGTTGTTGTTGAACATTCATGAACTCAAGAGATGCACTCTGGAAACTTGAAGTTAATCGACCCAGTTTTAACTCTGCCTTTAATAACTGCCTGAGCCGAGAGACTCTTCTCCGTCACGAAGAGCGTAAAAAGAAGGCAAGTCTTCTGCCATTGGCCGCACCGAAAGCGAACAGGAAGTAAACTGATCGACGAATTCGTAAAAATTGAAAGTTCCTTGCTCTCCGCTGTTGTGGTAGATCTAATCGATTTCGTGGGCGTTGAAACGGTTTGCCTGAACCAGAGAACTTCTGCGAATCTGCTTCACCCCGCTTGAACTCTCATTTGAGAGATTTTCTGCTGCCGAGTGCAACCATGGTTGTAGTTTCATCTAATTAAAAATCATTCTTCTAGCAGCCAACTTTACATGACAACGCAGGGAGGATTTCTGGCCCCGATTAAGTTTCGCAAAATTTGAGTTTCACGAACTGGACCACTCCCTATGTTTTGGCCATTAGTCCATACGGAAAAAATTCACGAGCGATTCAGTTTCGCGATTGACTGTGCCTACTAAAATTCGCGAAATTGAAGCAAGCGATAACACTTCTGGTTGAACTGTTTTTTTTTTCAAGTTGCGTAACTTCTTT